ACGAAGAGTCGAGACAGGTGTGCGACGTCGAGAGCGCTGTTCGAAAAGGGTTGACGAAACCGAGGGTGGGGGGGGGAAAAAAAGTTGGAGAGCATAACACACGGAAACGCGACAGCGTGGACCCGCTGGGGTTGTTAAAGCGCACTAACGGGGAACACGTGCGTCGACGGACCCCGTGCAGCGGCTACGAGCTTTCAGACGACGATACACGCCGCTCTGTTTACGTTACGAACTTCCTCCCTCCGAGGGAGGCCCCCCTCTTTACAGCAAACAATCTCCCGCGGCTTTCTCGGGACTCCTGAAATCTGGCTGGAGGATGGTAAATTCGAATTTCATTATTCACCGTGACCGACAATCCTTTTGGATCTCTAGATCAAACCACTGGCTATGGAATAAACTTCCATCAACCCTTTGACTGCTAAACGAGTATATAGACGCTTTTACAAGTCTATCGATATATACGAAAAGCGTAAATTTACGCCCTCTATAACACCTTTTACTGTTTTACCAATCGATTCGACATGGAATTGGATATTTTAATTTATTTGCATTTAATATTTTTTTGGTCTCTTAAATCTCCGGGTAGTTTTTTGGTCACCAGTCAGTGGACGACCAAAAGGTTAAAATGAAAATATAAATACAGATGTTTGGTCTATTTAAAAAATTTCCCAAGTAATATTTTATAAAATGAAATAAATATTGGCAAATTGGCGGCCAGGCGATTTAATGTACGCGAGGCGGCTGGTTGCACTTTCCCGCGGTTCGCGTGGATCCCGCGTCGCGGTGTTAGCAACTTCCGTAACCGATTTCCGCGAAACCGACCAACGACGACGACGACACATTTTTCTCCCCGCGTCGCGCAGGTAGCGGCGTACGTAGCGCCGACATCGCCTCGGGAGGGGTTATAGGTAATGCCGGAGTGCTCGACAGGGGGCCCTGACCCGATTGCAGAAAATGTCAACACTCTCGTTACGTGGCTGCACTATCACCGGGCCGGAGCGAGCGAGCGCGCAACACGCTCGGAACGTGCGAAACGGGGGGCGTTAGCCGTGGGTGTATGGGTGCGTGGAGCCGCGTACACGTGCACACGCACGCAGCTGGAACGCTTCGGTGTCTTTAAAGTGGCCATCTTGACTTCACTTTCAAACGCTGCTATCGGCCTGGAAAGAACCAGCGAGAGGAACGGAGAGGACGGAGCCGGGGGAGACGGCGGAACAGAGACCAACAGACGTGTAAGCGGTCTGGCACACCGTGTGGCAATACGAGGAAGCCGATTACCCAACGATCCCGGGATCCCTCGAACCCGGCCACTGGTTACACGCGATTCCGCGTAATTCGCCGATCCGCGTGCCCCGTTTACAACCGATCTACCCGTGTCTCTTCCTACACGGACGCCATTATCAAATCTGAGTCGAAAATAATCTATTCTTCGATCGATCGCGAGTTATTGAAAATTGTCATTGCATGGCGAAGAGTTTGAAAAGAATCTCGCCTGGGCGCCATTTGTCAATTAAACGCGATCAGAGTTGAAAAGAATCTATGTTTCGATCGATTGCAACCTACTAAAAATTGCCATTGCATGGCGATGAGGTTGGACAGAATCTCGCCTGGGCGCCATTTTCAAATCGAGCGCGATCAGAGTCGAACAGAATCTATTCTTCCATCGATCGCGAGCTATTAAAAATTGCCATTGCAAGGCGAAAAGTTTGTAAAGAATCTCGCCTGGGCGCCATTTGCCAATCGAACGCGAACGGCAGAAGACCGTGAAACAAGATGGCGCATACATCATCGATCAAGTTCCCGTAGTAAATTATATGCTCGTAAAACGACGCGACCGGGCATCTTGCGTAACCTAATACGTTCTATCCGAGGACTAATTATCGACTTGAAAAATAGGCGAGTCTTCGGGACTATTTACACGGCATTGGCCTCGTTTGGAATCCGCGACTACAGCCCGGAGTATCGAAACCATTCCGATTCGACGGTGAGAGTCGCGAGTTCTTACGTTACGTCGCTTACAAAATTGGACAACCGATCTGCTGCTTTGACCATAATTGAGGTCACCAGAGTGCTGAGGCTGAATAACCCCGCGGAGGCTCTGCTTCGAGCTACGACGTGTGATTCGACGATTTGATCCTTTATTATGAAACTCGCGCTAGAAAAGTACGTCGTTTCATCCGTCAACTACCATTGAAACGAAACACCTGCTTAATTATGGGAATTCGAGCGTAATTATTTGCACTACCGAGTGAATCGAGGGGCACTGCTCTCAAAAGACGAAAAAAAAAAATAATAAAAGATAAAGGATGACGTTAGAAATCCAACGTTGGAGCGCAATCTTCTATTTTGGATCGTATCGCGAAGCGAAACGACTTTCACGGGTATTGTGAAGGCGCTGCGATGGCTCCTCGCAGCGAAAGGGTTAAATGGAGCTTGGACGGTAACTAGGAAAGCGTGTACAGACATGACTCACGAGCACGCGAAATATCCCTTTCGTAGAGTCGCTCGAGGATAGCGTTCGCGACTAAATACGGGTGTACTCTTCGAGATAATCGCGTCGAGTAATTAAAGAGTCTGCTATATCTTCTGTGGGTCGCGTGAAGAGATACGAGGGGGATTTTGATAAACTTTTCGTGTTTAAAAACTCGGGTGATCGGGTTGGTGGGAAATGGGTTCGAAACGTTCCCGATCCGTGGTCGGATATCGATTCGCTGCACCTGTTTTTCCACGAGCGAGAAGCAACGGAGCCCCGCGGCTCGGGAGGAGAGAGTGGAAGAGAGTCGACGCCGGGTCTCGAATCTATTTCCGTGGGGCCCTAACCCGAGAGCCGAGAGACGGAAACAGACGGAGGGGAGAAGAGAGACGGAGGGAGGCAGAGAGGGAGAGGAGAATTTATGTGTTTGGAGAGGGTCAAGGGAACGAGGGTAGCGACAAGTGCAGCGGAGTCGTGCAGCTGGATGCAACAGGGGGTAAAGAAACCGCGTTGCTCGACACCGACGTTTTCGCGCGAAACGGACCAACTTTCTCGTCTCTGTCGCTTCGTTTTCCGTGCCCCCTTGTCTTCGGGGCTGGGATTTCGTCTCGAAGATCGTGGGAAATTGTCCGGCGGCGTTCCCTGGTCGATACGTCCGCGGACGGTGCGGCGATTCGACGTGAAAATCCACTTTTTGTCGGTTACGCAGGATGCACACGGCGAAAGTGATGCGTGTCGAAGAGACGAGACAGTCGGGCCCGACAGACCGAGCAAATGTGCACGCGAGAGTATGCGCGGGGTTCTTTTCTCTTCTGCAACTGTAACGAGGTTCACGGGCTAAGTTTTTATTTCTTCGAAACGAGACTAAAAGTAAAAATCAAACGGGAACCGCCCGCCGCGTCGGAGAAGAGCAGAGAATCGTTTCGCGGATGGAGGAAAAGTTGGTAAATATTTTCGCGGAAAGTATCGATCGCGGGCACGTAACGGACGCGACGGATGTCTTCTGCGTCGGCGAGCAAAGCGGAAACGAACCCGTCGAGCGTGCAATCGTTATCGGCAGCAACTGGGTCGTAAATATTCAGCCGGCGAGCGCCATATTTCGGTCGATATTTCGCTGGAAGAGCGGTCTAAATCTGTATTTATAATAGTTTTGCTAGAAAGTTCGGTTTCTCACTTTCCAACCGCTTTCTAAAAATGTGAAAAGAACAACGGTGAGCACCCATTCCGATTCGCGTTCTAACGGCACGTAATTGGCCGTCGCAGCGCGCGGGCTGCGGTCGGAGACGATGTCGTCGAGCTTTTACCGCAGACCGTTGAAACTCACGACGAAAATCACGCAACGAGAATTTTCGCTTCGCCGTGCACCGCGATGAAACATCCGAGTATCTTTCTAATATTCCAATCACGAGAACTACCCAATGGCAAAACTCTTTCGTTAACAGGCCCACGATTGAAGATACCACCGAGGAAAACAAAATATTTTCTGTCTTCTATTACCAATTTTGAAATATTAAATTGGATCGAACCCCAATTTCGTAGTTCGAGGCGTTTATCGTTTGGCGGAACAACTGCTCAAAAACGACTGTTCGTTTTTCTCGCGAGGCCGACAATTTCTCTTTGTTATCGTCGAGCATTGACAGACAGAAAGACCCAGCCGCCCCCTTTGATCGTTTTAAATGCTCGGGTTAAAGGCTAAGCGTTTCACGCGGCCTACAAAAGGTCGTTACCACTTAAGCGGTGTCTCGATACACACGATACGTATGTGAGCCATATGCGAGGCACATGTGTGCCCGCGTCTCGATGCGACCGAGGACGCACGGCGTCGTCGATCCGGCAGGTAGAGATTTTCGTATCGTAGAACACGACACCTACGGTGAGCGGGATGTAGCATAATATTTGCCTCCGGTGAGCCCGTAAGGTCGTGTAAATATGTTCCTCCTCGCCGACGGTCGTTGCACGTTACTACGATCTCGAGGCGAACCCGAAGCAATCGCGAAATCGTGTACGCTCGTAGTATGCTGTTACGACACGGCTGTAAATTGTAAGAATTGGGCCACCGCTTACACGTACGCGTGGCCCGTGCACGTACGCCGCGTACATACGCGTGCGTGCGCGCGCGCGCGCGAACACGCTGCTTTTTTTTTTCGCGTCGACACAAGAACGCAGGCGCAATTATTGCTAACGCGGATGTCTGGTCGCGATTCGCGAGGCCTTGGCCGGTTTCCCTTTCGGAGTAGCGAATCGGCATTGCTGGAATACCGAGAGTAGTTCGGCTACGAGTGGAGCCCCCGAGGGCCCGCCACCCCGACTTTATCGACACCCGATACACGGTTCACGATAGGACGCTGCTGCACCAACAATGGTAAAACAGATATTTCTCCTATGAACCGTAGATAATACCACGGTCGGTTGAGAAGAAAACTCCCTGTGCGATTCACAGTCGGTAACGTAGATTGCACGTGTTATTCTCCGACGGTAAGATAGGGTAAATAACCATGAAAATAAATATGGAATATGTGCACGCTACCTTTGCTCATCTCAGGCTGAATACTTTCCGTCTTGATTTCCGCCCTCGTTGCATAGGGTATGGAGGTTGGCGACGCTTGCGACGAAGGAGCTGCTAATTTTTCTGTCGCGAAAGAAAATGGATACACGATGACTTTCTGATATGGTATCGGGTCCTGATTGATTTGGGATACTTACCTGCTAACAGGGGATTGGCAGCAGCGATGTTGTACCTTTGCCGTCTGCACGAAGAGGTTACGGAAGTAGTGGTCGACGTGGGCTGGCTGGCTTCGGCCAAGTCGGCTTGCAGTTCTCGGAGGAACGTGTCTAGCGTGTCGAAGGGTTCCTCCCCTGTGACACCGGCCATACCTTCGCCCTCCTCCGCCGGCATATTTGGCGTGGCTGTCGTACCGACCAGGGCGCTCAATTCCATCGGGGAAAATTCGACCGACTGCCCTGTGCTGCTCTCCTAGTACAACACGAAAGCAAAGTTTTTTCCCTCGATTCGTTTAACGTTACATTTACATGTTGCCGAATTCTGGTAGTCGAATACTCTACCATGTGTCAGTTAGATACGATAGAGGTAAATAATGGCTGGCGTACCAACCTGAAGACACTGCGTCAAGTCGACCATTTTGCCGTCATTGTCAGGGCACCAAAGTAGCTCGTCGTCTATGAAGGGCATGTTTGACTCCTCCTTGGGCACGAGGGTGGAGGTTAGCGTAAGGGTTTGCGATACGGGGACCGGCATCGGGACCCGTACCCTGCGGCGGGGCCTCTCTAGCCACCCCCGCGCTTTCTAACATCCAAAACCACCTCCCAAACGTCCCCACTTTTCGCCTCCTTCTTGTTCTGCACACCAGACACGTTTCTATCTTTGATCCTACGCGCTACTCCAGTTCCCCTGAAACAAATAGATTTTCTTCGCTGTAGAATTATGTTCCAGCGAGACGGAGGCGCCTCGATTGTCGGTTCAAGAAAGATTACTTTCTACCGTCCTGCGGAACACGCACGCGCAGTCATCCGACTCGTTGATTCCGCGAATGACCGCCAATAGCGCGATCGTCGATGCCCATCGATATCGAAAAACGCATTGATTTCGTTTCACTAATCACGATCGAATCGTTCGTCGATGCGGAGCAACCGAACTCCGGCAATCGAACGGCGTCGATTAGTGTAAAAGTATGGCGTGCAAGCGTACAAAGCAGCCGGTAATTCGCTGGCATTTCCATGAAAGTGAAAACACCGAGTGAAAACTTTCTTTCTGGCTCGTAGGTTGTTTCACTTCCTGTGCGCGTAACCTCTCTCTCCCCTGCCCGCCGTTGCATTTCTATGCAGCTTCTACGCGCCGCTGTCTTTACGTAATCCACAGAAAGAAAGTTTCTATCGTTTCAAGGAGGTTAACATCCTCTGGTCTCTTACCCATTCAAATATCGCTCGTTAGTCGAACGCGATCGAGAGCAACGCGCTGCATACAATAAGAAGCGATAAAAAAATGTTCGTGGTCGTTGCAGGCGGTACGGACTAGAGAAAGGCGATGTTAGGTTAGGTTAGGGAAAGGTTTACGTGAATTTTAAACGTAACGTGTTGGCTCATTCGCATCGCAACCCGACAATTTCTTTCTGCTGAATTTAAGTACGAACTTTGATGCATTGTAGAGGATCGTTTATCGAATCGAAAGAGAAGGGAATAAGGTTCAAATCGCGCGCCAAAACTGGAAGGGAACAGTTTTGACATGGCAGACGAGGAGAGCAGCTCGACGTCCGAGGACAGTCTGGACTTGACAAGTGATAAATTTCAACCGATGAAAGCGTTGTACTCGACCAAGATGAAGCTTTCGTCCGTGAAAGCACCGATCTACGACAATGTTTCCAAGTTCGAAGCCGTTATGTCGGGTCTGTCGGGAGTAAAGAAAGTGCGTATCCCGTCGAGCGCGCGCGTACCATTTTCGCGCAAGATCCGCTGCTCCCGTTTGTTTCGTTATTTCAGAAGAAAAATAAGACGATCGAGGCCGGCCAGGGGGACCATTCGAGGCAACGATTCTTACCTAGTCAAGGTAAGATTCGGCCACGCTCGTCGACCAGAGATTTATTGTCGTTGCAACGAAGAGTGAGGTTATACGCGCGGAGACGGTCGAAACGTTTGCGTTCCCGACGAGAGATGGCGACCCCGTCCACCCCTTGTGCAAGTCGGGTGGTCGCAGTTTCATTCATGATAACTCGCACGTGGTATCAAATTTCAATACGCTTACGGTTAGCTGACAACGAACAGTATACGGACGCGGAAGTAGAATTGCACGAGTCGTTCGAGGCTCCGCGTGGAGCCTCGTTAGAAAGAAAAAAAAAAAGAAAAACGTAGCGTCCGTTCGAGCGACGAAAATATCGATGTCCCGCTCTTGAAACGTCTCATTGATGCTGGCAGAAGTTTTCGTAAAGTTGTAAAGCAGGGGCTCTCAATCGCTGGCGCGCGTCGACCTCTTTCCAAAATTAGATTCAATTTATCGGTCGTTTTCGATCCTGACACGACACATAGTTGTCCCGTCGCTGAAATATTTCGACCGCCCTGGAAACCGATACGAATTCCACGCGAGCTGCTCGCGAGACTACGAACGAACAAAATTCGTTCGACTCTGGTTTCGGAGCGGGGTCAGTTCGCGCGATGGCGGCTGCTCGAGGTAGATTGCGAGATTCTCTCGAATGAATCATTCGGTCGTTATTTTTTTTCTTTTTTTTTTGCGATCTTCCCCCCGCGGTCCCTCGTCGCGACGCCGGTGGACTCCGCATCCCTAGATATTGGCACACTTTATTTACGATCCCCGGCAAATACCACGAAGGTCGTCGGTACGCCTTGCTCGCGCGCGTAGTCGCGTGGAATTTGACCTCCGCGAGAGCGCGTCAACTCGTGGAAGCCGAGCGCGCGCGGTGTCTCATTGTTTCCTTCTTCTCCGTGGCTGTTTCCTTTTATCGCGTGCCTGCGCCGCGGATGATATCTAATGTCGCCGAGTATTCGCCGAGACCTTCCCTCGGGTGCGCGCTCGTTGTGCAAACATCGTGGAATCCGCGGCTGCAGAAGGTCTACCGAAATGTTTCGCAATCGCGGAAGCCTTCGAGCTACGAATCCGTACAGGGTTATCCGATACGAAACTTTTACCCGTTATTGTTTGTTATTAGTCGGTACTGCGCATCGATCGAGCGCACGCTCTTCGATCTTCCGAATCGACCACACGGTTACGAACGGGGCCATCTTGTTTTTTCGACCAGGCATTTAAAACTGTTATTACAAGGATTTTCAACACATTTTTTTAAGGGAAAAAATTCGATGATCCGAGCGCCGGTCACCGGTGACCGTCGGCCTAGTTAATCCATTAACACGAGAAAGAACAGAGACAAATACGTTTTTGCCACTTCCTAATAATGTGGGAACCAAACGAGTTAAGTAATTTCGGTCTGACGCGTTGCACGGGAGCTTCTGTGCAATTTGCGCCGAATTAGGAGCGCGTAATTTCTCAGAGGTGAGCACCAGCGACGCGAATTGCGGGACAAAATGGTGGCACGATGGACGGTTTTTCATTTCTCATCGACTCGAGATTTATCGCGGGGTGGGCCAGCCCGGGACGTTTCGCTCGAGCCACGAATGTTCGCCAAAAAGATAGTCACGAAATTTATGTGCCTCCGCGATAAATTGACGGAGATTGATAATAATAATAGCCCCCCCTCCGGCGGAAAAAAAACAACATTACTGCGTTTCGCGTCGAATCTGCTAATTCGAACGTCGGGGATTACCCCGGGTGCATTTTGCTATCGATCGTTCAGGAAATTATACGCGTCGTTATATCGAGCAAACACCGCGAAACGAATTTAATTATTCGTGACATTTGAAAGGGAACAATCGATGGAGGAAAATCATAATCGAAATTAAAAATATTGGCAGTCCACGATCGAGGGATGTATATTACAGTGTTATTAATTTCAAGGACGATAGGATAATTACTCCGTATCTCGAGCGCGACAGGACTAACGCATAGTCGTTTTAGAAACCTGTTTTAGATCGATCGAGGATGTTCCCTTTATCCGAATCCGATTGGAAAATTAAATATACGGAGTAAAAAATTCACTATGGGGAACCCTGTGCCCGAACCCTCCTCACCGTTGGTGAGGTGTGGGCTCGGGCGTCGAAACTTGACCGAAGTCGCTTCTTAACCGTGATTCTGACACGGTGCCAAGCGAGGTCGGCTTAGATTTTCAGTGAAAGTGGCGGAGCGCCGGCTGGACGCTCGGCTCGTGATTTCGGCGCGTATTTGCGTACGCGCGCGGAGACAGCGCGCGCGTAAAACGGTGAAAGAAGGGGCGGAAGGACAGAGGGGGTTGTCGGAGACAGAGGCTAGGCGCTTGGTTCCCTTCGTGTTCCACCGGATACCCCGGGGGTATGTATCTATTGGCCGGCAGCCAATTACACCAGGCAGCCGATAAATCACGGATCCCTGACCCAGTGCAGTTTTATATTTACAGGCGACGCTGGTGTGCGCGCTCGGCAGAAGAGGAGGAGGAGAGGAGGCACGGGCGCGCGTGTTCTCCGCTGCCACTCGCCGACGCCGCGCGCGGTGCATTCGTCGTTTCTCTCTCTTTCTCTCTTTCTCTTTGTAGGGCTCTCGTGGCGCGGCGATGCTCTCTCGCGCGACATCGTGTGGAAAGCCACGGCGGTGCAACAGCGAAAGAGTAAGAGGAAAGAGAGGGACGGCGAGCGAACGTTCCAAGGGAGGGAGAGTGGTTCGTCCAAAGGGGTTGGAGGAGGGGCTGGCCGTGGTCTCGTGTATGGGTGAGTGGGGTGGGGTGTAGCGGCGTATACGTACGTAATGCAGCACTTGTTGCGCCCGGGCGTCGACCTCGGACTCAACCCGAGGCTCCGGGTGCCGGACTGACCGTCTTCTAGACCGAAAATTTTGCACGGAGCATCGGTACCCCGACTCGCAACCTCCACGAGGTCCTTCGGCTTCCGGTCGCCCCCCAGCTCCCGTTCCTCGATCTCTGTGCTTCGACCGCCACCGCCATGCAACGCCCCCGCCCCTCCCCCGCCTCACCCTCGTTCACTCGAGTCCGTTTCGGGACTCGGTCGAGAAAGGTTAAGACGCGAGCGAGCGCGCGCGCGCGCGAGTGCACGCTTTTATCGCGAAAAAGCCGGCATTGTTGCGAGTCTCAGCAGCGCGAGATATCGGGAAGAGGATCGCGGGCACAGCGAGAGTCGCAGCAGCACTTGTTGCGTCCGGACGTCGACCTCGACTCAACTCGAGGCTCCTCAGCCTGGGCTCTGTTCGGCCTCCGAACACGTTCCCGAGCCCGATTTTCGCGATCGTGCTAACCGTCCTCGGTCCACCGGGTCGCTTCGACGTTCCTTCTCGATCGCGTCGGCTTCTTAGTCACGGGACCAAGAGAAAGCTTTTCTTTCTCTTTCTCTCTCTCTCTCTCTCTCTCGCACTCTTTCTTTCTCGCCTTCGAGGCTGTGAAACGCGTTCCCGAGACTCCCGAGCAATTTTTCCCCGACCTAGCGCAACGCGACGCCGCGTCGTTCTCCCGATAAGGACGCCTCCCTGAAACGTTCCAACGACGCAGCGTTCGATGGAACACGGGCTCCGGAGTGCCGATCTCACGGCGTCGCAACGCCTCCTGGGCGTCTCCGGCGCATTCTGAACGATTCTAAATCTTTATCTATCAGTTATCCGGGTAAAACTTCGTCATCGAATATTTTACTGGCTCTTGAGATAACGAACAATCGAATTTTGGGGTTAAATCTTATCTGGACGAAACGATGTTTTGTTATTGTTATATGGATGAAAGCATGGCGGACTCTGGCAGTTGCAAACGCGATGCAACGCACCGCGGCGAATCCGGCAGTCGTTCGCCCCGAGTAACGGAATACACGTCGTCGTCGCGGTGCCGATCTTTTCCCGTCGATTCTCGCGCCGTCCTGCAATATTTATACGCTCTCGTCATCGGTTCAGCCTTCTCTCCTAGATAATTCGCTTTCCTTTTCAATTTCCGCGCTCGATTCTCGATCGATTTCTCGCTTTTCTCGAATCTCGAATCCTCTCCAGGCGATTACGAAACCGTCCACCGCGCTCGAATCGCAGCGACCAGGTGCATTCTTCCGCGCGATATTGGGTCAGACGTTACCAACCAGCCTTCGTAAGGCAAAATCCTCATCCTCGTTCTACGTTCCCCTTGATCCAACGCGATCGAATACTTCTCAAAAAAGCCTACGCTACGAATATTCCAACGTTCGTTTAATCGTGGGATCGTGGTTGATACGATGACATTCTAGTTAAACACTAAACTCTAAAATTTATGAAACGCAACCCCTTTTTCCATGGAACTATACCATTAAACGAGATAGCAAACAGTCCCAGTCAAAGGGAGGACTTCTTCTCGGATTCAAACGCGTTAACAGACCATTGATTTAGCTACTTAGTCGTTTGCATTAATTTTAATACTAACATCGTTGTACGACAGGGTTCATCACGTCTGTGATTGAAATAAATAAATCAATCGATGGACTTCCGTATGATTAAAACAGATAACTTTTAAACGCATCAATTTTTGGACATTTTTATTATCTGCTCCGTCTCTACCCTATCGTTCTATCTGTACTACGAGTTTCTGCCCGCTACGCGCACCGCATAATTACCCATGGATTTCCAGCGGCGCAACGACGATAACAACGACGCGTGTCATCTTATATTTCCAATTCGATGTTAATCTCTCGAATCGTGACGATGACGCTCGACACACACCCGCCCACGAGCGTTGGCCGTCTATTTTCGCGCAACGGGAGTTTAAATTCCAGGTCTCGGGCAGAAATGGCAAAGATGCTTATCTGGATGCAAGTATCGAGCAACGAGCACGAGATAATCAACTTCGCGTTACGCGTCGAGCAAAAATCTGCTCGCCGCGCGTTCCTCCGTTGATGGGACCGGGATGCTCGAATCCGGAAGCGTGTAATTTCGATTTCAAGAAAGCGAAAGATCTCGACGATCGTTCGAAGACGCGTTCGAGTTTTTAGCAA